CTCCAAAGAGGAAAATATAGGAGTTCCCAGAGTTCTCAGGGGGAAGGCCATGCCCACAAGGAGGCCTCATTGGCTATAACCCGATTGACAGACTAGACTCCACACCTTCACTCTTAATCCTCTCCAGTCCCAAACTGACACCAGATTACATAACTACCACATTAGCAGATAAAGCTGTAAGGTACTCACAAAGTAGATCATAATCAGTGAAAAATATTTGCAACACGTTTAACAAAGTCATATTTCGTTAAGATTGAAAGAGGTCTTACAGGTCACTATTTAAAAGAAACAGAGCTTTGTTGCAATAATGTAAGGTGATATGAACAAGTTATGTCTTATATGAAAAAACTCTAAAGTTTAACATCATTTAATGCCAATTTGGATTACAATGCAATTCTACTTTAACTTAGCAGAGCAAACGAATCTATACGCTGTGTCACAATCCTTCCTGTGCTGGCCCTACTTGTCGCACCATCTCATTGATGAACTTCCTCTTTATCACTGATCCTCTCCTTCAGTGTTTCCCTGTGGGTTGGGAAGGTGGAGTCATGGAACTTCCCAGGGGGGTTGTAAGACAATACCTATACTTTGTCCTGGATTGTGGATGTTAATGCAGAAGTTTTCCATTGCAGAAGGTGCTGAGCGCCCTTTTGTTTTTTAAGAAAAGGGGAAGGCGGGTCAAATAAATTTGAGAATATACGATCTAATTTATCAAGCATGATGTCATTCTCTAGGCACGGGTTCTTCCTGATAACATATCCAAAATATGCGATTATCTCGCCATTATCTTTTTAATAAGCGTTCTGGCTGTACTGTTTCAAAGAGAGGTGCCATTTTCTTCTGGCAGTCCCTGGTATATTAAAAATTCTTCACCAACTCTATAATTCAAATGCACACATTCTTCTCCAAGCTTTCTTATTCATTATGCAGTTTTCTCGTGCATGGGAGGCAGTTGAAATTACCACGACTTGGATCTGACACACCTTTGTCCTTAAAGTGACACATTTCCTCTTTGACACATTAAAGCGGGTGTTTTGCAGCAGATTTGCCCAACACATTGTACCTTCTGCTTCTAATTAGCAAGTACTTCCAGTTCTCCTCACTTGCAGCAAGCAAGGCTGTGTCTTCTGCATTTTGCAGGGGTTTTAATAAGGCTTTCTCCAATCCTGATGCCAACGCACAATTAAATGTCTTTGAATTCACATTCTTCTCACTATCATCCGTAGTTTCTTGCGATATGCCCATCTGAAAACCTAATTAATAAAACACAAACACACTTTTTTCTGGGGTAAATGCACAACCAATAACGAATAATCACAAAGACCTAACTATTGATCACATCTTGCATTTAAAAAGAAATGAACACCACTACTTTTTGACCACTTAATATCTAATGGCTTCACTTTTCCTTTTTCTCAGATTGAGGCATGCAATTATTTGTTATACCAGATTATTGTAATATTGCTATGTACACACATCTGTGGATCAAAATTGCTGTCTTTAAATTGTTGTGTACTATATATTTTGATAATTTGACATTAGAACACTTATAAACTTCATAGTTATAACTCAAAAGATGGTGAACATTTTCCAGCCATGAAAGGAAACTACATTAAAGAAATAGAGTTGTTCACTCATTAATAAGCAAATATAGTAATATATTAGCTACTTCATAGAAACTTGAGAGCATAAAATTAGGTACTGAGAGTAAATGCAAACTACTTATAAATCATATCATAAAAGCTTGAAACATATTCTAGTTTGGTCAGAAATGCATGTTATTCTTGGTTTTCCTAGTTCTTTTTCTGTTTTGAACCATAGGAAAGGATTAATGCATATTGCCAAGCTTTGGCACAAAGACAAGATTATTCCATTAAGTTAGTAGCTCAAGAATTTCATCAGATCTGAGAGTTTAAAAAGGCAACAAACACGTGAAGTTAATTTCTTAAGGGGAATAAATATTTGGGGCATTGATATAACTATTTCTTAGTACCAAGAATACAAATGCCTGTGACTAATAAGCATGCGAAGTCAATAACGGTTACAAATCTACCCCACTGACAATTGTGCCTGGTAGAATCGAGGGCAGGGCCACGTTATAAACCTGCTTCTTCAGACATCTGTCTTTCTGCGGTTGGTGTCGCTGTTGGGACCAGGCCTTCAGCTGAGGCGACCAAAACATCTATAATTCGTTCTTCCTTTGCTTCCTCCCATAATCAGTATCCAAATTCTGTTCATTCTTTATCTGAAATAGCTATTCCATCTGTTCATTTTTTTCTGATGTTAATCCCACAGGCTTAGAATATTGCCGTACATGTCTCAGCAGTTTCACAGTCTCCAGCACCTATCCTTCTACTTGATCCCATATGTTCGGCAGATCCAATGTATTTAACCTTGGTCATGATCTCCAGTTCAGAAATCTGTATTTTACCACCTGAAAACGAACTCCAGGCTCCTGAACACTACAGTCAGAACTCTTACAGGGTTGTCCCAATATGCCTTGGAAATGCATCTCCCGTGTAGTGCCTGGTGGTTTCAAACTGTGAAGGATCACAGCCCAATGCACAACCACTACGTCACATTACTCATGCCTATATTTTCTTCTCACAGCTCAAAGTTGAGCGCATTTTTCATAGGCATTAGAATACGTGTATCACAAATGAATAAAATTTGTTCTACACATTTTTTTTCCAATGGGAAGCCATGTTTATATAGAGTAGAATCAAATGAGTCTCAGTAGCGTATACAAACTAGTGTGGGGCTGGAATGCAACAACTTGACTGACGGTTGATCAAGATAGTTTTATGGATACACAAATACAAAACAATATAAAATATTTCCTGTTTAGTACATAATAATATTTTGAATAAAAACTGTGACATATAAGGCTAAGTCAAAGAGTATTGATACAAAATTATAGAAGTCTTAATGAAACAAAAATAACAAAATTAGAAAATACTAATTATTTTTGACATATCCTCCATGTAAGTTTATGTACTTTCATGTTTCCATCTCTCCAAGGTTCCCTGAACAATTCACTGTTTTCACTGGACCTTTTGTGTATTTGAATGCACCCTAATAAGACTACAGTTGAAAGAACTTGTCCACAGTCCCTTTTTCAATTGTATCATATATTTAAGCATATTTTGTTTGGAATACACCCCTGCATGTATGAACTTGAACATTGATAGCGATGCCTTTTGACTTTACCTTCTATATTTACTTTTATATTTGGCTTCTTCTGTTCAATATGTGTTTTAGAGTAACCCACGTTGTGATTTTTATCAGTAGTTAATTCCCTTTTGATGCTGAGGAGCACTGCATTAAAAATTGCATCACGGTATGTCTTTTGACTTTCTTGTTGATGATGGGTATTTGGGTGGCTGTTCGGACTTTGTTATTGGTAAGGCAAGGTGAACCAAATGAACAGCTAATCAAGAAGGAAGTGCTGCCACCGCGTTGATGCGAATTCATCGTGATCCCGCGGGTCGGAGAAGAACTGCCTGTGAGAGTTTGCAGCCTGTAACTTTTTAGAGTAAGGAAAACCTTGTCTTTCGCCTGCACAGTGGCTGTTTGTTTCAAACTGTTGCCCTGAGAAAAACAGCCCAAGGTGCAACCATCACACCAACCACTACTACAACTCCAAAGTCTCTCTGACACAACAGAAAACTTCACACAAACAAACAAACAAACAGGATAAGCCTCCTAACAATTGACCAAAATAAAGAACCAGGAAAACTCCCGAGAAAGAAAAGGTAATAGAATTACCTGCTAATGATTTCAAAACATACATGTGCATATGTATGTATGTGTGTGCATATGATATAAATTCATATGTGTGTGTGTGACCAAAACTGTCATTGGGTTGATTCCAATTCCTGGCAACCTTTTGAGGACAGAGTGGAGCTGACCTGGTGGGTTTCTGAGACTGGAAGTTTTGACAGGAGTAGAAAGCCTTTTCTCCTGCAGAGGGGCTGATTTCCAACCGCTGACCTTGTGGTTAGCAGTCCAACTCTTCTCCCATTAAGTCACCAGGGAAACACATACAAATATATTTATATAAATCATGACAGGACATGACTTATTCAGAACATTCAATATGTAGATGGCACAACCTTGCTGGCTCGAAGTGATGAGGACTTGAAGCACTTGGTGTTAGGAGCCATTGAGTCAATTCTGACTCACAGTGAGCCTCTGTACAATAGAATGAAACATTCTTCAATCCCATGCCATCCTTGCCAAGATAGAAGGCCCTCAGTAAGATAGATTGGCTGCACCAATGGGTTCCAACGTAAGAACAAGTATGAGAATGTCACAGAACTGAGTAGGGTTCCTTTCTGTTTGTAGGGACCACCTCAAAGGCACCTAAGAAAAGCATCCTCTTAATTTTTGC